CCTCAAGAGAGGAGGTTTGTTAAGATCATTCTGTAATAGGCATTTTCTCCAGCTTGTGGAAAATGTTCCTACTTGTCCTTCAGTTTTGGTGGGATGGACAGTGCACCCAGCTCCGAGATGAGAAATGGGGGAAGCCTCACCTGCTGCAGTAGGCTTTGAGAGGGACTTGGAAGCAGCTTTTGGGCACTGCTGAAATGTAGCCGCTTATTTAGAATTTTTAAGGCTGTTAGTGACCTGGTAACATCACTGGATCTCCTGAGCTGGTATGGTCTGCGCTTTGCCTGTGCTCTCTCAGTGGCTATTTTTAAGGACGCTTAACTCTGGAGACAAGTTGAGCTCTACAAGGTGGGGAAATTATTTCAAAATATTCAAATTTCCCTGGTCCTTACTGCCTTTGTACCCTTCTTTTTTTTTTTTTTTTTTTTCACTCCCCTGTTGCTTTGCAGTCTGAGGCATCAAGTACATTTTTGGTAACTGGAGATGGCAGATACTTTATTTGTTTTTAGCTCTGGGTATATCATGTGATTTGCATTAACGGGACTGTGTTGCAAAAGTTTTCTGAGAATTCCTGGCGAGGTATCTGGTTGTGTAAAGTCCTGGAAACTAGCGCCTGCCCCCTGCGCCGGGCCAGGAGCAGGGCTACAGAGCAAAACATAAATCTGTGTGAACTTGTGGGAGGCCTCAGTTCAGAACTGCCTGGCTGTGCTTGGACGTAACCAGTTTTCTTTAGTGAAGGCGGTTGTGGGTGGTATTGGTCAGTGTGGTGTGCAGTCTGGTAGCAGTCTTCCTTTTCTTTTCTTTCCCGATTCCTTAGCTTGATGTGCTCACTTCAGTGTCTCCCTGTTCCCTAGTGCTGCACCGATACCGACACATCCTGGGATTATGGCAGCCGGACATCGGGCCCTATGGGGGACTGCTGAACGTGGTGGTGAGTGAGTACCTCATTCTGGGGGCTGTGGTGTCGAGGACTGATGAGTCTTTTGTGTACCGCTTTCTAGACCTGGTTGCCATCTCCATGCTCTTGAGAAGTCTGAATGGTCAACCCTCAAGCAAGTGATTGGGACCCAGAGGTTGTTTCTTGGATCTTTTCATCCTCACCACCTTTCTCCAGACAGTCCTTCTGTTTTTCAGCCAGCCAGCCACAGGAGCACGCAGGAAACATAAACAACGTTTCAGGGAAAGGCTTGATTTAGAGTTTAATGCTGATATTCCAGTGGCTGGCACAGGAGTCCTTTCCTTGTGCATCGAGTACGGCAGAGATTTCAGCACTGGCCCATCTCTTACTGCTTTGTCTTGGCTTGCAAAGGGTTTCGCACTGGAGTTTACACATCTCTCCTTCCTGTAGTTTGCAGTACTCTTCACTAGCTGTGTCCAAGGCTAATGCCTCAGTTGTAGGGATGCGGGTGCAAGACCCGGGGAGTCTGGCAGCACTTGTGCTGCTAGGGAGAGGAGTTAATGAACAACACTTGGCTCTGTATTGGTGAGAGCTGAGCCAGAAGTTTGCTTGAAGCCCTTGTTCTTTGCACCAAGGTTCAATAGCTGACAGGTTGAAGCATAACAAATTATGAAGCCTTTGGGTTTTGCAAGATACAGTTCCATGAACTGGTATAAGAGTGCATCCAAGTGCACCAATACTTACATGATATTGTGACCTTATAAAGACAAGTGTGCCTCTGTGGCGCTGCTCTGCTTTTGTCTCAGATCTCTCTGTTAAGAAAACATCCTTTCTCTGGAATTACAGGGCTTGAGGGGAAGGATTCTGTTAGGCATGCAGGAAGAGGGCTGGCACTTGTACCTCTCAGCAGAGGAGACTGTTGCTTCCTGTGCTGTCTGCGAGTAACAGAGCCAAATAATTTCTTGTCCAAAAGGCGCGGATAATCATGAGAAGCAGAATTCGTCTATTCGACTATCTGCCAGCGTGAGCTCTCAAACCAATTAGAGTTTGACTAGCTGTGTGGTCTCTTCAGTGCAGTCTCTCCCTCTGGATCCTGCGCACCAAGCATCCGTCACAAAGTCGTTTGCAGTAATAAAGGCCTGCTCATTTTCCAGTGGTGCGGAAAGCCTTGTAAAGAAACCCTCTCCCTCTTCACCAAGGGTGTGCTGTGAGTGCATATGGTCTGGTTTAATTGCTGGAAAGCAGTTTGGAAATTCAGCAAGCTGTTCTACAGCTCCTGTCCTCTTGCAGAGTAGGCCCTGGAGTTGTTTGCTGCAAACTCAACAGAAAGTGTGCAAGGCTGATCCTGTACGTGTTGTCTCCCATCTCTCTGCAGGTAGACGGTTTGTTCATCATTGGGTGGATGTACTTGCCGCCTCATGACCCTCATGTTGATGATCCCATGAGATTCAAACCTCTCTTCAGGATTCATCTCATGGAGAGGAAATGTGCAACAGTTGAGTGTATGTATGGTCATAAGGGACCTCATAATGGCCATATCCAGGTGAGCTCCTCTAGCACTTTCAACATCTGTCCTAGGTGCAGTGCGTGTGAGCATGCATGCACATTCGCTCTGGAAATGCATTCATCAACTAACTGTAGGAGAATTTTATTTAAGGGATGTGGCTTTCACCACCCTGTTGTATGCATGGGTGCCAACTTTATGCTCATTATGTGTCTGACAAGTTGTGTGGGCTGTTCCCCACTCGGAATTTGTTCGCTGGCAGTAGTACAGCAGGGCTGTTACAGTCTGCTGTTGGGCGGGAACAGGGTGGGAGCGGCAGTATGTGTACAGGCTGGGGGAAATGATACACAAAATGGCCTTGTGCAGCTGGTGAATGTGTCCAAGTAGACACACAGACCTGTTCTATTTTACAGCGCCTTCTCCTTGAGAGAGTGATGTAGCATCTATTCTGTACGTTAGATGCTTTGAAAAGTTTCCGGAGAGGTTGTTCCTTTTCTTTGAAGAGGGAAGCTCAAATAGAGAAGCAACTTACAACCAGTACCTTTCATTAGAATGCATTGTGGTTTTATTGCTTTTATTCCTCTATTCTGTAGCTGATGCACTTGGTATCATTTACTAATTTCTCTAGTGAAGCAAATTCAGCAACACTTGTTGTGTAAAGCATTTACTCTAAGTGATCTTAGTTACATCGACCTAGGCATCTCTAATCAGGTCTGTAACCTGTTAAATTCTCCTCCGTGGTAACTACAGATTGTAAAGAAGGATGAGTTCTCCACGAAATGCAACCAGACAGATCACCATCGGATGTCGGGGGGAAGGCAAGAGGTAAGAGTGCTTTGCCAAGAGTCTGGATTAAGGCTGGCTGTATGTCCCCTTTCTGAAGATAAAGCATTGCTGCCTTACCTAAGCTCTTAGGTAGTGTCCGAGTCTGGGAGGTGGTCTCCTGCTTTCTAATTTCTGTGTGTGTGAACATACGTGAAACCCCAGGCTGGTATCTTCTGGCTGATTTACTGTTCTCTTTTTGAAGTGAGTAGAATTGATCTGTCACTGGGACCAAAACTTAAAGTGGCCCCATTTGAAGAACTGCAGGATCTTGGGGAAACTCTTCTCTGCTTGCCAATGTGTGGTTTAAGGATCCAGTATATGGGATGAATTCAGTGTTAGACCTGCAGAAAGTCTGGGTGGAGACCCCGTGCCTTGCCTTAGCGTGTAGCAGAGTGTTGGAGCAGGCTGTTAACACTCACCCTGTTGAGCAAAAAGCTGCTTTAGGCGGTCCTCTGTGGCAAGGTGCTTTTTGAGCCCCAGCACCCTTTTTCTTCCTGTGCTGTGACACCATTCCTGTTTGATAGCAGGCCTGTCCAAAGAAAGGCAGCAACGTGCACTGTACTCCCTGTAGCACTCGCCAGACACTGATCTCTGTGCTATTGCTGTCTGTATGATCTTCTGTATAAGATCTTTCCGACAGAGGCCTAATAACTGAGTCCCAGCTGCGTTTGAATACCTGCTTGTCAGTGGGGCCTCTTTCTGCTGCTTGTCATTTTGGTTGAGGGATTAAAAGCTTCATTTGGTTGTTTATCCCGTGTCTGTGTCGGCTATGCCCAGCAAGGCAGGTTCCTGACTCAAACTACATGTTTTAAGGTGCAGGTATAAATGCCAGGATGAAAGCCTACAGCTAATACCTGTTCCAGGTAGTTTTTGCCAGCTAGTTAAACGTGACAAATCTGATACTTCAGTGGCTTCTAACAAATGCCTTAAAATGTCTGTCTGCTAATGGGAAACAGCTGGGTGAAAGGTTTAGTTAAGTGTTTTCTGGTTCTGTAGCAGATGAGAAATGCTTTAATACTTTCAAAGCACTGTGTTAAGTGTGCGTGGAATGGTAATTGGAGGATCTGGCTTTAGAAGATAAAACAAGCAGGTTTGGAATATCACTTGGTAGGCTGCTATCTTAGTGTAAGCTGTTATCATCCTAACTCATGGTAGGGTATTAACTTGTCAGAGCTGGTGTAGAGGTTCTTCAGGAGATGTTTTCAAAGCACTCTTTGGATTTAGGTGCATCAGTATTAAATCAGCAGGATTTAACCTCCTAAATCTTCAGCGCGTTTTCAAAAGCTTCCCCTTTCATGTTTAACATGCCGGGATAGGGCACAGGAGTCAGCTTATGGGCACACAAACGAGTTACTGCAAGGTAAGTCAGGACGTAAAGAAGTAGTAGATCAGCTGCTTTATGGTAACAGACGATGCTTATGCTCTTATTCTGAGGAGGCATATTGGTTCTACCGGTGATTTGTTTGAAGGGGAGCCAGGTTTATTGTGTGGTGTCTGGCAGGTATAGGGCAGTTACTGTTATCACTACTTGTTAAGTGTATTTCCAAGCCAGCTGTGTAGCAACATGTACTTGTTCCCAAATCCAACCACGATTCTCTGTCTTTGGCAGAGCACGTGCCCTCGCTGGGGCTCTGCCGGTGAATCGTGCTGACAAGGTGAAGTCATGTTGGGGTACGTCACCGTTGCAAATGGAACGCCATTATATTCCCCCTTTTCTCTTCTCTTTGTGCTTCAGGAATTCCGGACATGGCTAAGGGAAGAGTGGGGTCGGACACTGGAAGACATCTTCCATGAACACATGCAAGAGCTCATCTTGATGAAGTTCATCTACACCAGCCAATATGAGTAAGGGCACCAGCTCTTTCTAGGTATTGAGGCTGCTGCAACTTCAGGAGCACGTTGGATCATTTGTTCTGAAGATGGGGTGCTTGCAATGGGCTTTAACAGCCGGGGGAACGTTCCGTCTCTGCAGGCTCTGTGCAAAGATAACGGTGAAGCACAGTGCTTTCCAGTTTTATGGAGATGTGGTGTAATGACAGTGGTAATAATAAGGTTCCAAGTTCTTCACAATAACTATGCACAATAAGGTGGTTTTGAGTCGTTTAACCGTGTTTAATTTGAAGACAGAGCAAATAGCCATGATCCCAAGGAGCTATCTGCTTATTATCCGTATTAGTAAGCAATATGCTTTGTAGTGCACTAGGTAGAAATCACACAGTCCCTGAGAACTTGGGGTTTTTTTTAATCATCACCCCAAACTTCTAATAGCAGCCACCTCGCTGTTGCAGATGTTTAAATGTGCTTCACTCTTAGGTTCTCCAGAAATTCCAGCGAGTAAGGAGGTTTACTGTGACCTTGCTGTAGGAGCCTCCTGGTGGGACCGGTAGAGAGAAGTGAAGGGAAGGGGTGCTTCCATGGGTCTACAGCGAAATCTGTTAAGCTTGTTGCATTTGCTGAAAACACAGATCCCACCTCTCTCCTGATGACAGCCCAAAGCTGCCTGGAGGAGCAGACTGCAAACACGTTCCTCATGTCAAGGGATTCTCTTAACCTCTCTAACCTCTTGGTTTTTGCACAGCAACTGCTTGACATACCGACGCATCTACCTCCCTCCTAGCAGCCCTGATGACCTTATAAAGCCAGGTCTCTTCAAGGGGACGTATGGGAGCCACGGGCTGGAGATTGTCATGTTGAGCTTTCATGGAAAGAAAGCAAAGGGGACTAAAATCACCGTGAGTGCATTTTTCTTTCTCTCAGATGCTTGTTAAAGCATTCTCTTCTTGATGCCATGGATTCATAGGAGATACCTCTGTCTGGGAGGTAGTCAGTTGTTGCCACCCCGAACCCTGTTCGTCATGGGGATTGGTGGCATCGAGTGAATCTTAACATGTGCAGAGTAGCAGAACCCCCTCTGCAAAGTTTCTCATGACCCCCACCTGGTTCCCCCTCCCTTTCCTCTCCCTTCCAGCTGCTTTCTGTGGGCAGCTGGTAGCAGGTCACTGGAGATGACTCGCTTGTATCTGAGGAGCAGGTACCAAATGTTGGCAGCTCTTCACTGAAGCCAGGCTAGCGAGCTCCTTCCTCTCTGCAGGCAGGGATTCTGACAAAATGCAGTTGCAGCTTTGCCTTTCTTTCACCCTTGCAAGTACAGCCTGGCTCATAGCTTTTTATTTGAAATACTATTTCTGGGAGGGGGGAAAGCAGAGGTGGCGTAGACAGCTCAGGGTACAATGAACAAAGTCAGAGGAGGTGGGTTTTTTTTTGTTGCCAACTTGGTAACTATAGAATAGGGTGAACTATGTAGAAGTCAGATGGTAGATGTGGGGAGGATACAGGTCTGAACGCTGTAGCACCCTGCCTCTGCAGCCATGCTGTCTCTTCCTCTCTTTAGGGAGATCCCAACATCCCAGCTGGACAGCAGACTGTGGAGATTGACCTGGCGCATCCTCTGCAGCTACCCGACATTGAGAACCTTCGCGATTTCAGTGAGCTCTCTCGCATCGTCCTGGAGGTCCAGGAGCAGGTGCGTCGGGAGGAGCAGGAGGAGGAACACCGGCAGGAGGAAGAGGAGCGCTCCCAGCAGGCTGCCTCTCAGCCTGCTGCCAAGCCCCTGGCAGGAGAAGGTGCCGAGGGGGAAGAGACTGCAGCTGGGGCGGAGGGGACAGCCCAGAACAAGGCACCAGCTTCCCAGCCCTTCGTGCTGCCCATGGGAGTCATTTCAAGGAATGAAGACTATCCCCGGACCTGCCGAATTTGGTAACGGGGACTAGTGGTTTTATAGCCTAGTTGTGCCAGTCACTTTTTGAAACCGAAGAGGGGGAGTCTTTGAGGCGTGTTCTGCGTTTCCGTGCCCTTTACCTGCATGTGGATCTCCCAGTCCCTCATACTCAGGTTTTCTGCCGCTGCTGCCCCATCTCCCATGCTCTTGTTTGCTCCCTCTCTTTCTTACTGCACCGTCATCTGCCATCCCGCTTCCTTGCTAGATGTTATCCTGCTACTTCTGAAGCTGGCGACTCTCCTGTATTCCACCCCCTGCCTTTTTTGTGTGTGTTTTGTTTCCCAGAGCTACCCAGCTCATATATTTGGTGATCCGTTCAAACTGCTTCCCGTTTCTGTGTGTCATTTGTGTTCCTTGGCTGTGAGAACGCAGTGCTCTCTCCCACCCTTCCCTGGCCTCTGGTGCCTTGGGAAGGTGCTGAGCACCCCAGGCAGGAGGTGCAAGTATGGAGAGCGCCTTGTTGAATGGGACCTGGAATCAGTGAAGCAGCGTACTAAATGAAGTGTGGAAAAAGAGCCCAAAAGCTGAGACTTAGGAAGGTGACCTTCAGCCAAACATCTGTGCTCATGGAAAAACCTACCAATAGCTGGTTAATCCCAGAAGGCCCCTGCTGTCACAACCCAGTTGTGTTTGAATAAAGCTCTGCTCCACCTGCTGCTCGCTTGGAGGTTAGGCTGACCTTTACTCCCTCCAAAGCTCCAGTTAGATTTTTCTTTTTTTTTAAGGTTTTTCTTTCTCTCGCTTCCCCTGGGTTTTGTCGCAAGGTTTGCCTCTCTGGTCACCCTCTCAACATGCCTCTCCTTTTCTGTGAGGATTGTCTGGGCCTGGGTTGATCCTGGAGTTGTAGCAGTAAATCTCTGATGGATTACTGGGCTGAACTACAGAGAAATTGAGCCTTGGTGTGCAGGTGCTAATTAGAATAGCTAAAAGCAGCAACCTCCAAATAGCAGTGGAGAGTTTCTTTTCTTAAAATGGTATCAACACTGTTTTGTGCTGCGTGGTAAGAACTGACTGAATGTAAAACTCCCCGTTCTGGAGCACCTGGCAGTGTGAAAAGGGCTTGATCATAGCTTTGTGTGTGTGTGTTTGGGTTTTTTTTAATTTTATTTTATTAAACATTGGGTAATTATGACTGTTCTCACATCTTTTTTGCTTTTTTTTTTACTCTCCCTGCAGTTTTTATGGGACGGGGCTTATTGCTGGCCACGGCTTCACCAGCCCCGAGCGAACGCCGGGTGTTTTTGTTCTCTTTGATGACGATCGCTTTGGATTCATCTGGCTGGAGCTGAAGTCCTTCAGTCTCTACAGTCGGATCAAGGTCTCCTTCCAGAACGCCGAAGCGCCTTCCCGTGAGGCTTTTGATGAAATGCTGAAGAACATTCAGTCGCTGGCTACTTGATGGGTGATTTGTGATGGACAGGGCTAGGGGTTGCAAAGGCTGCTGCACTCCCCAACCAGGGCTGGGATGGGGATTCCTTGCTCTCGGTACCTCTGAATCAAAGCATGCACTTTTAATAAAGCCTTTTTACCCCAAATGTACACATCCTGGTTAAAATATCCATGACTGCCCTTTCCTCCCTGCCACCCTACACTGTTCCCTTAGCAGTCCTCGTTACCCAGTCTGTAACATAGCTTTGTGTAGCTGAAGGGATCCCGCAGAGGAGGAATTAGACCTTTCTTACTGCGAAAAGAATGTATCGGAGCAAAAATGACTCAAGGTCAGAGCTGGATCAGAAGAAGATCTAATTGACTGGATGGACATGAGCCGTCTGCTCTGACCAGTAGCAGTCTCCCATGGAAAGAGCTCTTCTTCACGGAAGGGACTCATTTAAGCCTTTGCGGCGCTCTAGGCCGATCTGTCCTCCTGGGAAACTTGCTTTACCCTCCTGAAAACCTGTGTGGTCCCCTGCTGCAGACTGGCTGGCTGCTTACTGGTAAATTGCGTCAGCAGTGACAAAGGACGTCCTCCTCTCCAGAAACCTTTCTCTGGGTGCAGCATCATCAAGAGAGACTGGTGTAATACCGGCATCCTTGGCTTAGTAATTGGCGTGGGTGGTTTCTTTTTGAGAAATTCCCTCAGCTTGGCAGCAAGGGGAGGATTCCCCACTGTAAATGACAGTGTGTGTGGTGTTGCCCTGGCTTCTGGAGCTTGGTGGATGTCCTGTCCCTGGGGCTTCAGGTCTGGGTGTCAGCGAGCGTAGAGAAGATGATTCTTTTTTTCTTATAGGAGCTGGGTACAGGACTGGAAATGAGTGTAAACTGCAGAAGCTGGTGCATTCAGAGCTGGTTTTGTACCTGAAAGGTTTACCTTGGATCTTTTGAACTGGGCCCGAATATGTAAAGGAAGGAGAAAAAAGAAAACTAACTGTGAAATAAACCCAAATGCAGCCTGCTGGCTCCTGTCTGTGATGGGCAGCAGTAGGTGCCATGTGTCGCTGGTACTGATGTGACCCCAGTTACGTGTCATTCTTGTATCAGGTTGCCCTGTGCAGTCTGAAGGAGCGGTGAGGGATTCTCCTAATACTGCTGTGGCTTGTTCTGGCGCCTTTTACGGTTGGTGCTGACAGGTGGGTGCTGCTGCTCCACTCACAGGACCCTTCTGTTCCCTTTCTTGTCACACTTGTTTCATCCCACATGATTGCTGCTTGCACAGAAAGCTTCTGGGCTTAATTCTTTCCATGATACCTGCATTCTGTGTGGCAGAGCTGAGCTCCACTGGGAAGGGTGGGCTGCAGGTGGGGAAGCAGACTCCCTGTCTGTCCTATGCAGGAGAATCCTGGCCAGTGCTAATACGCAGACCGTGAGTTGTGCTGTGAACCATCAGCACGTGTTAATCCTGTATAGGAAGAGATGATAGGGATCCTTGTGCAGAGAGGAGAGAGCTATTTGTAAGGAAGCTCTGGGTTACAGGCAAAATACATCCTTTGTTGCAGTTGCTCTCTGGCTGTGATAAACACATTTCTTCTCTTTCCGCTACCAGCAGAATCGGTGTGTAACAAAACTCCGCCTTTGCATCTTCTGCAGGTTTTGGTTACACATGTAAATGTGTCTCTACATGTGTTGCGGTGAGAGGATTCAAGCCCCTTCAGTGGAGAAGTTTCAGTCCCTGCCTAGTTTCCCCGACTGCGAGCAGCTTTTATTTTCACTCTCACAAGGGCTTTTTGCCATTTCTGGCTCTTGAGTGTTCCCTCAAGCTGCGTGAGAACCGCGTCTCCAGCAGAGACTTTGAGCAGAAGGTCACGTCACTCACAGGATTAATTCCTGTCTCTTTGGATATAGTTGCACAAGCCTCTGGGAATTTGAAGGTGATTTGGGGCACTTTTTTCTTTGTTTCCTACTGCTTTGTCAGTAGCGGAAAACCTGCCTCAGTGTTAGAGGTGAGGATCTGAAGTGCTATTACTGTTCTAGTGAATAAGCTATAAAAAGTAGGTTGTTTCCGAGCAGCCTGTTAGAGGTGTTCCTGTCGGCATCAGCAGAGGGGAGAGTTGACTTGGATCTCACCCCATCACGCGGGGCTGGGAAAGGGGAAGGGTGGCGGTTCTCTGAGCCTCGCTGTGTGAGCGGAGAGGTGAGCTGGAGCTAAAATCGGGCATCTCGGCCTTTTGCTGCAGCTGCTGAGCTGCGTGCAGAAGGAGAGCATGTGCTTAATCTTGCAGATGGAGGTTTCCAGCCTGATGATGCAGATTTCTGGGATACCTAAAGACACGAGGAGTCTGTGCGGTGTCTGGGTGGCCAGTTTGTCTCGGAGCTTGCTGTGAGGCTGGTGCAGCCAGTATGTTGGCTGCTTTGTATTCTCCCTAGCAGCCTAAAGGGATGAGAGAGGTCCCTTGGGCAGCTGTATCAATCGCTTGTCCCTAAAGTGAGCTCTGCTTCAGCTGCAAATGGATCCATACCTCCTTCCTTCAATGTCCCCACTCACCCGAAAAAAATAAAAATCCTGAAGTTTTACATGACTGACTTAATAGTTTTTGCTTTTTTTGTTTTTAAAGTGAGATTGAAAATCCAGACTGCATTGAATGCTCTACAAGCATTTGGCCTGAGACCCGAGTTGCTCTCTCCTAAGTACAGACGCTGACTCTGTCACCGGTCTCCTCCCTGTAACCTGCTGTGTTGGGTTGGCTGAGTGTGTGAAGGCGGCGTAGGTATGTTCCCCTGCTGTGGCGTAAAAGGCTTTTTTTAGTTGTTACCTGCAGCTTAAATTCCCCTTGGTGTCAGGAGCCTGCTGGGGAGCGCAAACCCCCGGATGGCAGATGGAGTGTTTTTCTCGGTGCTGAAAGCAGGTCTGCTGTGTCACTTGGGTGAGGACCTGTTGGTTGGCTGTTGGCACAGGTTGTGCATCTGCTGTTCTCCAGGCTAAGACAGTTCTTCTTCTAGCTTGTCCCTTCCGAACCTTTTCAGTGGCAGCGTTAAGGCGGGACCTGCTTGGCTGGCTGGAGAGAAGGGCTTTGCAGAGGCTCGATGCCCTGCAGGAACTTTTCACAGCTCAGCTTTGCCCCTGTAGTAGCATCATTTTATTTATAGTGTACCTGATTGGCCTCAAAATGTCAAATGTGCTAGTCCCGATTAAAGGCAAAATGTGCTGATACACCGTGGCTTTATTCTGGCGAGAGCAAAGGCAATGAAAATATCAACCTTTGTATTAATACTCCTCTTCTGCCTTCTCTTCTCACCTTCTGCTCCTCAAAGCCTGGCAGGCTTTTGTGGCATTTCAGAAGAAAATTCCCTCTGATTTGGCTTTGGGTGAGGAAAACTGTCAAGACGGCAAATTTGGAGAGGCTGGCAGAAATGCTCTGGGTGCTCCTGTGCCTTCGCTGGTTCCTTTGTGCATGGCTACATCAGTGCTTTGGGAGAAAAGCAGAATAGCACGACGAGGAGTTATAACTTGCAGCTCTGAAAGCTTTTGGGGAGGAGAACGAAACAAGAGAAGCGCAGCCAGACTCAGTGGCAGGTGGTTTGGATCTGAGCATCGTCCTGAGCATCGTCCGTGGCCGAGGGGGATGCGACCGCGGTCCCGCTCCCGCCTTCCCTCGTGGTACCCGTGGGAAGCGGTGCTGACAGGATAGTGTTTTGTTGTAGTTGTTCGTGTTTGGTACGGGCTGTACCGCTCCCCTGCACAGTATGTCTCGGCGCGTACCCTGCTTCTTTGCGGAACCCTGGTTGTCCAGCTTGTCGGGATATTTCTGTGAGCTGTTGACAGGGAATAACGCGTGGCGGTGCTTTGCAGATGGTGGTAAATTTCTGGTGCTGACGTCTCCTCGTCCTGTTCGCTCTGTAGGAAATCTCGGGGACAATTGGCTTTACTTCTTTATCCCAGATGGGTGGAAAGTGCTGGGGAAGATGGAAAACAACATGCCAAGGGTAGGAATACTCTCTTGGCAGAAGCCTTTCGGAATAAACAAAGGGCTTGCAATTAGGTTGCAGATGAGTATTGCCCCAGTAGCCGCAGCAAGAACTAGGGCTTAGTTCTAGCTCGGGAGCGATAGCAAGTGACTGGCTTACGCGTTCGGGCCGTGTTGTGCTCCTAAATCACGCTTTCATTGTTGTCAAAACACGCGGGTTTGGCCAGCTGGAAACCAGAAGCATCAAAGATCCTCGTCCAGCCGGTTTGTTTGTGTTGGGCCTGATTTCATAGCTATAAATATGCTGTGATCAGGCGTTGTGGTTGTCGGAGACTCACTGCAGTCCACGTGGACTCGTCAGGCTGCTTTTTTTTTTTTTTTTTTTTTCCTTTTTTGAGGAGGAGGAAAATGGAGTTACTCGTAACTTTGGCTGTCAGCTTCCCTCTGGAGTGAACAGTAGCCACGGCTACTCTGGAATGGGACAGCAGAGGTCGGATGGCAGTTATTTGGGAAATTTGTACTGGAGAGAAAGCAAATTCTTGTTTAAGCGTGCTTGGAGGTGTAAGCTACCAGGGAAAAAAAACCAAAAAAACCCAAAAAACAAACAAAATGCAGCTGGCTCAGTGTTTACTTTTAAGCAAGGATGCCTTTTTATTAATTTAAAACTAGTGGAACTTAATGGGAGTGTTGGGTGTTGTGTGGAAATGGGTCGTATAATCTCAACTTGCTAGTTTAGGAAATGATAATATATTAACTCTGTCTTGTAGCTGGTTGCTCACGTGGCCAATAATCTTCTGTTGCGTTCAGCTGCCAAAGGACTGCGTGCCGGCCTTCGCGCCGCAGGCCAGACGGACGGCATAACTTACCAGTTGGGCAGTGAAATATTTGAGATGTGTGATCAGGTGGTGGAGTGGAAGTTAAGTTACCAAACTGTGAGTGCCACTGACTTTTTATCGTGTGCTAAATTCAAATGGATGATTCTGGGTTTTGTTTGGATTGCAGTCGTTTTTGAGGAAAAGAGCGCTCGGATCGACTGTTTGTTAGCTTAATTAAAGCAATCTGCACTTTTTTTTCATTGATTAATAGTCCTACTTCCCCTAAGCAGGTGTACCCTGTTTCCATATGTATTTTGCACTCACCACTTTAATATGACACCGATGAATTAATCTGGGCATCTCCTGTAGGCTTTGAGT